GCTACTGCGGAAAAGACAGGAACAAGCATAGTGATTCCGCCGTACTTTTTGATAAGATTAAGAGAGTGATAATCTGGTGATCAACCAGGCGAGTAGTAGGGGAACAGGACAACTGAAGTACTACTTTATATACAATATCGTGACCTGGTTCATGGTCGATCCATTCCTCTACTGAATATTCCAATGGTGGCTAACAAACCTTGCACATTAATTAGAGAAACCCCTTTCACTTCCTCGTCTTTCGGTACTCGGAAGCGCGTGTAAAATTGATTCAGGGTGAACGACCCAGTAATGGTGGAGACATCTTCCATCAATACTCTATCTGAAGACGATTATCTAGTACAGATTGCACAGTTCCTGGATTCGGACAACGGCCCTAGAGCGCCGTTCACTGTATATCCTGGTCAACACGCTAAAATAAACTTACCCCTAGAACAACGGAGTATGGAATTCCCCGGATAATACGCTCTGAGGTAAAAGACGGCACAAAAGTGTCCGCGCTGGAGATATTCCACTGTTTTGACGATTTATAAAAACTGAAGTAGAAGAATAGAAGCTCTTGGCCTCGGAGGTCCCGGGGGAGCCAGCGGGGATGGTTATACCCGCCTAAATTCAACCCTACACCCACCCCGGCCGGGAAAGACGCCGAACCTGATCATGAGGGACGTTTTTCCGAAAGCTATATTACGCTAATATATAGTCTTTCTGTCATAGCGACATGACAAGGGTATATAACATGGTTGAGCGGCGCAACCGGTTTAAATCTAATGTTAGCAGTTCAATTATACGGAGAGTATGCATGTATGCAGAACTATTCTCTAGGTAGAGATCCTCCTACAACGCTTATGAAGCCTATATATCTCATTACAAGTAATTAATCAGGGTTTTTAATATGCAACTGTGAAGCGGTGCAGAAGGTGTACATACCACCCCTCTGCGGCTCAACTTCAACTAAATGCTGAAGGGTATGGCTATCAGTACATATCTGAAGACATCGAAGGCTCGGTTGATAACATATTATCGGTGTATTGTTTTTGCACTAGCTAGGGCTGGGGCTCTTCCAATGTGTTAGGTGCAGTACTAATCCTTGGCGAAGAACCTAGCCTGCACGTATCACAGTAATAAGTATAGCTGGTACTACCGTCAACTCTCGAATAATCCACTATCCCCGTATTTGTATGCAGTGATAAGTCCGAACCAAGGCAATATCAAACTTTACGGATTCGTGAAGCAAGGATTGACGGTAGTTTTATTTGGCTGGGCACATCCAGACTCCGACCCTAGAGCAGGTCTTAACCCACAAATCGCCCGTTTAGTAATTGCTATCCCTTAAGCCGTCAGCACAATTCCAATGTTGTTACTCAAACCAAATACAGAAGTCATGATATAAACACTAAGGATGCATAGCTCCTCAAGATTTTACAGCACTGATTCTTATCGCTAAGACCATGACAGATCACCTCATCACGGACACTTCTCTGCGATGTTTACATCACGACGGCTTCTATATTGGGTTTAAGTAACAGCATTGGGATCGGTCCTGACGGCTTAAGGGATATGCATGCATGTTTACGAAATGAAACCCAGAGTGCTGGCTTATATACAATTCGCAAAAACTAGCTGGCACCGGTTAATTACAGCCACTCTGCAAAAGTGTTCGTGATTCTGATTTCGGAGTGAGACTGGCGGGCCATCAAAACCTCGAATTGAAAGACTTTCCGAGTGATCAACGGTGCCCGAAATCAATGAAGGCCAAGAAGATTAATGACCTACTTTTTTCTTTTATATATAGTCACGAACTATATTATATATTTTTCGTTGGTTTGAATCTCAACTTTACCTATGTAGTAACCAACTTCACTGGTGCGCCACACTGCACAATATTGACGTTGAAACTAAATCACGAACACTTTTGCAGAATGGCTGTATATATAGTTAGCACAAGGTAAATACATGTATTCAACCACGGTGGCATGGTCACATATACTACAAACAGTGCTCCTTCCTCATGATCAAGCTCGATGATCATGCATGGTAAGCCTCGAGGCTTAGTATATAATTGCGCATAATGGGAATATGCACAGCGTTGGGTAATTAATTAATAAGTCATCGGACGACATAGCCACAATTTTGCCTGCAAACGCGTATTTTGGTAGGGTTCCGTCTGATGACTTCTTACCCACCGCTGTGCAACCGGAGCCCTATGGCAATTAACATGATTCACCATTCATTCCAGGAGGGATTTCAAAGAGGACCCTCAATCCCAGAATATTCCAATCAGGCCTTTGCACCTGATTTTTGCTCTTTGCTCGCTCACTAATACCTATGCTTATACTCCCCAGCTAAATATCTCGACCGAGGAACCCTAAAGACCTTAACGAACAGCTATCTTCTATCACTCGTACTTGTAGATACCGCAAGAGCAATGTTAATGTTGCATGTAATTAATCTTGTAATCCCGCCTCGTTATATGTGCTTCCCAACCTCAGCTCTTACTATATAAGCATTTTCTTGCTTCGCTATTGATTTATGGAGGGTTATCAGCAATCAAGAGACAGAGAAGAGAGAACTTCTGTTTAATACATCAAACGAATAACTGTCAACATAAAAACAATTATATCTATAACTGGGCCGTGAGCCAGTACAGGAAAACTTCGAGTTAGAGGAAATGGATTCGGGAGATAAATTAGAAGAATCGTTTCAAATATAACAGCAGAAACAAAACAAGATATAAGAGGCTTCATAGCCTATAGCAAGCTCTAGTACTACCCCCTGAATAGTCCTAAATCCATTCCTGTCTAGCCCCCCTTGTCTAGCCGCCATTACTCAGACCTAGCCGGTGTATTTGTTCCAGAGTCCAAGGAAACAAGAGAAAGTCTTTCCATATGTGCTAGTAAACCCTGGTCTCCTCCGATCTCAATCTCTTTCAAAACATCTACTAGCCTTTTCACTTCTTCAACTGCGCACGGAAAATTCAGTCTTTCTAAAGAAAATCAAGATTAAATCCCCAGAGAACCATCACACACCTGTATTATAATGTACCATGCTCACTCTAATCACTCCATCCTCTTTGGGATGTAAAAGCTTGGCCACCAATCTGAAAGAATCAAAGTGCCCCCAAGCCACCCCAAGCCCGGGATCTTTTGCTGTAATGAACTCAACCACGTCTTGACTCATCCATCCGTTTATATTGAACGATACTATTGCCACCCGCAGTACAGGATCCGGTGACTTTTCCCCATGGATTCGAACATCACTGCGTGAGTTAAGATAATCTATTAGTATCTTTTGTAGCACAGCCTCGTGCTCCATGATTGCGGCCCAGGAGGACACGGGATCTGGGTTTAAATAATCCACAATTTGTGGGATAGAAGATGTGAGGGCGGGGTTAGCTGCATAGAGGCCAAACTTGACTTGAAGTGAGGTGAGAGGATGATCAAAGAAGTAACTGAAGGGTTCGAGGAGGTCATGGTCGTCTTTTAGTGACTTTTCGATCCAAATGCAGGATAGATGGGGTCCAAATACCTGTATCATATCCATTAATCTTTCGAGCCAAGCCTAGAGTCAGGGTTGGGAGATGAGGGGCCGGATGTGGGGAGGAGAGACTTCTGGGTACCTACATTGTTCCAAGACCAAACATAAATGTCCACGCCCAGTGTACTCACGTCCACTCTCCTGTGTGGCGCAAACTCTACCCCGTCGACACAAACTACTGCCTCGGGCACCATCCTATGAACGACTTCTGCAGCCACTTCGACATCCTCGATATTCCCAAGTATGCCACAAGCATGAGTCAACGCCACCAAACACGTCTTCTCTGAGATCAATTCTAATAGATCATCAATCTCTAGTCTCATGGCCGGCCCCTTCACCGTCCACCACTTCACGATCAGATCTTGCCTTTCCGCCATCCGCAGCCATGGACTGATGTTGCACTCATGGTTAATCTGCGCGACAATGATCTCGCTCTTTTGAGGAAACAAGAAACTCGTTGACAAGTTGTGGAGGAGTTGTGCCGTAGAGTTGCCGATTGCTATAGCGGTATATATCAATCAGCCCAGCTTTGCCTGAGGGAGGAATATGAGGAGAAAATGACCGATTTCGTCGGCGGATGAAGCGTTGATGAAGCGCTGGGACGCGGAGAGGGCATTTTTGAGGTAATTGCTATCCTTGTGAGGGGTGTTGGTAGGGTTCGTATAGTATGTGGAGATTCTATTCGACAGTCATCATATACTCAGGATCAAAATACATAGTAGCTAGCATTATACGAACGCTTCGATTACCGAACCCAGCATCTGAGTTTCGCTGGCATTGTCGAGCATAATTTCACCAGTATTATCAATCTGACCCGGCAAGCCTTTCCTTGCGCGGTCAACATGAGGAAACTTATCCCTGGCAGAGGCGATGCTGAAATCTTTAGAGGAAGCCATATTTTGGGAATTTTGAAGTATGATATTGACGTAGTGCCAATATTCCCCGCATCGCGATGGCCAATGTGAGCTCACATGCCATAAACCCTAACCCTAATATTCCAATGATACATGTATTGTCATTACATGTAGGTTCCTCCTGCAATAAAATGATCGGATGGTCGAAAAGTCTACCAACCCCCAAGACTGATTCTACAGAAGTTGGTATATGCAACTATAGGCTTAGGCTACAAAACAATGTGCAGTTTCAAGTATATGCTAATCCCTGAGGGCTCCATTAATCTGAAATGGTAAGTACCAGGCGAGTTGATCAGCTAATCAAGTACGTACTTTATTTATTGGAATTAGGAACCTCCAAACACGAACGGGATACATGTACTTCCTACGGAGTTAAATGCTCCGGATTGAAGTCTAAGAATACAACGTAAATTGGCCCGCACTTATTAGAAGACCAGTTCCCTCCAATTGAGTCGCAGTAGTTGCATCAAAGAAGGAAGTAAGATTTTTAGATGTTCTCTTCCTATAAAAATGGTTTGGTGCAGAGCAAAAAATAAAAAAACTGTAGATTAGAGCCCGATGCGGGGGTCGAACCCGCGACATTGAGGTAGCGCCAATGCATGATTAAATCACGTAAAAGCCACACGCTCTACCACTGAGCTAACCGGGCGTGGCGTCTCATTCAAAATATTGATAAACTGAGCAAAATAGTTTCGGAATGCACACAAAGAAGAAAATCCCAAAATTAATTGCCGTAAGTTGCTGGCGGAGATATGCGAGAAATATGACAGGCTTGTGGCACGGCCCTTTAATGCCGTGTCTACAGGCAGTCTCTGAGTCCCAAGATAATCTACGCGGGTTCGCATTTAAAACTACATAGGAAAGAGCTTTCATATCACAAATATTACTATTATCACTACATTTAAGCCGGGAATCATCAATTCTATTTCCAAAAGGATAGCTGGGGTGCCATGGAGAGGTTTTTGTCTCAATACTTGGCCATACACTCAGACCTCTCGTGCATAAACAGGTAGTACTAGCTATCATCAAGTTACGTAATATATTTTTTTGATGACCTGGCGGTCCATAATTTGAAGTTAAATCTGACGCTGAGCTGCTTCTGGGGATATATTAGTTGCCAAGTATATCCATTTACCTTAGTAGCTCTATATAGCTATACGTATATATATACTCATACTTCATGATCGCGATGCTATCCCTCTTTATTTAAGTTTGTAGTATTTCTACCGCCACTCGAGTCAACATTAACCCCACCTCAAAGGTTTTGATCCGGCCAGGTATGTGTACAATTGCACCTCGCTATCTCGTAATTCGATATCTCGGATCTCTTGCTGTCTCGTACGGGTTTGCGGGACAAGTACTGCCTTCCTCCACATAAACCTATTTGCTATCTCGTATATTTTGGTATATTTACTATCTCGTACGGGTTGGGCTCCCAGAATACGCTAACGACATAACGAGGTGCGACTGTATGTGCTTGCAACATTTTAACAAAAACCATGGTACGGGGGTCTTCTGACCCCCAAAACCACACACCCCAGACCTACATGTATTCACACTATTGTAGTGAGCAATTCAAGCGCAATAGCACAATTTTATTAGTTAAAATTTACTCTTTGAATGAAAATGACTGAAAAGTTACTACAATTATATTCGGAAAATTTGAGGGGAGGCCTTGGAAAGCCTACATTTGACGGAAAGAGTCTTTCCTCGAGCGAGAAATTCAAATATCAAATATGACCTACTATAGAGAAACAGCCCTCGAATCTAAAACTAATGGATTGAACATCCCCCTCGAAATGAGCCACCATTCTGTTCGGACTGAACCAGGCTACACAATAGTATGAATACCATCAACACTAAATTAAGCAAGCACATGCAGTTTATTCAATGAACTCCGGATCCCAATTTATTTTTACTAGCACACATTTTCAATAAAGGGCCATATTATTGTGTTATTCGAAAGAGTTATATCACTCCAGAAATGTGCGTATATACGTATATTCACCTTAGGTTTTCTAGTTCAGAAATCTTGAAAAGATCATAGTAGATATCGGTACTAGTAAATAGATCTAAAATAATAGCGAGAAAAACGAAATGGATATTAATTAAGGAGCGACCTAGGGTCAATACTGAATAAACCTGCACATCTCCAGATCTTCATGGCACTGCGCCACATTCATCAACTAATTGCCACCACATACGTACTGACTGATCTTAACATCATCCATCACATATCCCGTAGTAGACCCATCCGTCTTCAGCGTCTGCACCTGGAACTCTCCCAAAGCCTCAAATCCTTTCGCTCTCAAGCCCTTAATCTGGGTCCTAACATCCCCCTTTATCTTAATCTCATAGGGCCCTTTGGAGACTCCGGTAGAGGTTTTCCCGGTTATTTCCACCTTGATATCGATGTTTGCGAATGTAATTGGGGTGACGAAGAAGGAATCGACATCGAACACCTGGGGCGCCGCTACATGAAGCACGGAGGTTGTTCCGGCTGTATAAAGTGCCTGACCTGAACCACCACACTACACGATGTTGTTAGAAAATGTAGCAAACCAAGGAATAATGCATAAGTGCTTACTGATTTGTAGTAGTTCTGCAAGGGGGTGTTATTCTTAAAATTATTGCAGCGCATAATGTACCATTGATCGTTCTGCTGGAATTGGAAGCCATTATATTCGTATGGCACGTTATCGGGATTCCCGAGTTGATGGAAATCACTGTCGGGATAAGTAGGGATATCCTCGAACTAATATTTTGTTATTTCATTAAGTAAGGGGCTTGAGAAAGAAAGGAGCTTTGAGAGAGAAAAGGCGCAATACCGTGAGAGTTAACTGTTGAGACTTCCCTCTAGGACGGCAACTACCGCCTCCCGGAGTACTGCGAGCTTGTTCAGTACTCTGTCTGGCGGCAAGAGTGTCCGAGTCTGTAGGGAGTGAAAGGACTGCGGTCGGCAGGAGGAGGAAAGAAATGATGTATGCTGTGGAATATAACATTGCAAATGTATTGAAGTTATGTAGCTACTATGTAGGTTAATTATCGAGATTCCTGCGGGAGAATGGCGACGTTGGAGGTGATCGAGGTATCGAGAATCAAAGTGGGAAAACGTATCAATTTATCTTCCCTTCTACTCTATAACAACAGGTATATAGATATGTGATCTACTAAGATTATATCCAAGTATAGTACAGTCATTTAGTCTCGTGTTCGTTATTTGCATGCAGTCCAAGAAAAGCTGAAGTACAGATGCATCTCCCGATCCCGAATTGTGAGTTCCTCCTCTCGTATTACCTCAGTGCCAAGGTAGAGTACTACGGGCGTTAGAGTAAGACTGTTGACAGTGGCCGGGATGTAACAGTCCCCACTGTCAACAGTCTTACCCAGACCCTGTAGTAAATAGTATCAATTGACGGATTGATCGTGACCATCTCAAAGATGTAATTAGTCGAACATTATGTACAGTCGCAACTCGATATGCTGGATCTCAATACACCGGATCCCTTGCTGTCCCGTACGAAATCCTCTGGGATTTTAATTTTCTTACTGTAAAATCAATTTGCATATCGAGTTGCGACTATATACATACCTACATATATACATACATACAATCTAGTGGAAAAAGTCATATTAATAGAAACGCCACATTCTCAACACGAAAGACACGGCTCAACCCTTTCAAAAAGAGAAAGTGGTGATTCCGGAAGTAACTATGGCTCGAGAAGCTATGGTGGGTAGGTGTGTAAACTTCGGCGTTTGCAGCCAGCCAGTCAATCAATAGAAATTTGGAGATCTACCCCCATAATGGTACTAGCGCCTAGCCTAAGGGTGGAATTTTCTCCAATTCCTATACAAAGAAAGTTCCTCTGAAGTTGACACGCCCCCTATGCCTTCTCGTGACATACATGTAATGTGGTTGAAATGTGAGACAGAGAGAGGGGCTTTTAATTGGTCGATTCTAAGGGCTATTTTGGGTGCAGATTATGGTTGTGTAACCCTGAGTTTTCTTTGGTACACCGCATGCACACATGCAATATCTATGGCATAGCAAGCGAATAAACTGGGATAACTACGCCCTCACTCTCAGCCTCGGAGCCTACATCACTACCACGAGAATAGGCTACCCCATAAAGGCAACCGCATCTCCACTCAACTCGGGCTCGAACTCGAACACATCCTCCTCACTTAGCTCTGTCTCCTCCACACGCACATCAAATGCACCAGTAGTGGACCCCATCCCTACCATCTATGCCTCTTAAAAAGTCCCACCTAGGGCAAACCGGCTGAAGCCAAGGACATGTACGAAACGTATTTATTCAAATCATCCGAACACAAGTCTCCTATGTACCTTTGCTTGTTCTACCTTTCTTTTGTACAAATTTTAGTTTGGAATTCTGTTATATTGTTTTGAAGGGGGACGCGCGCTGCTACGTTTAGGGGATAGGTTTCTTTACGCCATAGTATTAACTTTATGCGACCATTTTGTATCTAGAAACAGAATTGACATGACTTTAAAAAAAAAAAAGAAACGGCAAGCGAATAAATTGGAACCTGGCCAATAAGTACATACATGTAGCTAGCTCTTAATAGAAAAACTTACAGCTACTTCTAGGACACGCCTTCACTCGGGTTGAGGCATTATGATGATACGAGCATAGTGAGGACTTGGTACATACTCGAACTTCACAGAGCCTTATGAAGCCCTATTTGCGCACTAGGCTATCAACTACTAACACACGAGTAATCACTATATATGGAATAATAGAGGTACAGCAAAACCTACCATAATTCCACCCCCATGGTGGCCGAATTCTGCTGGAAGTATAGTAGGGATAGAATTTAGAGAGAGGTATTTATCAGCAAAACACAGGTTTCGTTCTCCCCGAACGCTTGGCATTTGGTAGGGATGGAATTTCGAGAGGGTGGAATTATGATAGGTTTCCCTGTATATCTAGAGCCAGCTTTCATGGATGTCGATTCTAATTCTACTCCCTAAACGCACTATTGACTAGCTTAACTGCTTCGGGGCTACATTAATTCGACCACCCGGCTACCTCTGTGTACATACCTCCATGTATGTATGTATGTGTAATTTTGTTGCTGACCTTGCATTCGATCGCTATCCATCTGGCCATCTATCACCAAGTATCACTCGTGGACCGAGAAATCGAGGTTGAAATCTTGAAAAATAGAGGCCACACCTGCTAGTTTCCACGTACTATGAGACATCGTTATTAGTAACAGAAAGACCGGCATATAACATCTCAATTACGAACGGCTAACTGAGGCCTCCATCAAGGCGACTCCAATACGTGACACGGAAAGAGACCAGAGAATAGCTCCATTCTCTTCCATAAGCACAAAGAAACATTTTTTCCCCTCCCTCCAAAACGCACCCACCACACCACCGTAAAAACATGAACAACAACCAATTCTATATATACATCTAATGTCACACCAGAAATCCGAGCATCAAAAGGAGCCCCGGGAGACTGTTATAGGCTGGTCGTTTAGAAAGCAGGGTTGGCGTTGGTCAAGAGCTGCTCGAAGTAGGCCTGGAACCAGGTACCGGCCTCAGGAGCAGGCTTAAGCGCATCGGCAAGGCCGCAGTGGGCGTCGTAGCGGACAGCGCTGGTGTCGGAAGTT